AGTGGAGAATTGGTTGTTTTTTTCTCCACTGCATACAAGACAGACAAACGGATTCTAAAGGAACCTGATGATGACAAAACCTCGTCGAAACGTTGTACATTTGCTGTTGTATTAAAGTTTTTCTTCATTACCCATTCAAGCCGTCTCCAGCCATTATTAGTCTCAAAGTGGGTTCCTCGTCATCGAATATCAGCTTAGTGTTAGAAGTACATAGATTTTGCATACAATAGAAAGATTAAATACTTTTGATGGCTGAAATTTCTCAAGCACATAAAGCAATGGTTCTGTTGAATTGGTATTGATAAAACTTTGTATGCTATTTTGTGTATCAGTAGGAACAGGTATTTATGGTATCATCTTGTTATTTATTGGCATTAATCACATTTTCACAGATAAGCAGTTACTTGTATATATAACTTCTTTTTGTTTTACAGAGACCACACAAAGCAACTCAAGAAGAAATGACAAAATATCACAGTGATGATTACATCCGTTTTCTCCGTAGTATAAGGCCAGATAACATGTCAGAATATAATAAACAAATGCAAAGATGTAAGTCGAAGGTTTTTCACATAACATATTTATTTTAAATTATTATGACAATTAAAACCTTTAGTTAAGCTCACTATATCAATATCATTTAATCAAACAACTTTACTATCAATGTATGTCAAAAGCGTGGCATCAGAATGCAGTTTATAATTCATATTATCTAAGTTTTAATTTCCAAAAGAAACATTCAAAGAAATTATCGGTCTTTATTTTTCTGTTTCATGCGACATATTTGTGATCTGACTTGCCTATTTTAGATTTTTTTTCTACCCTTATTCAATTTTCTAAGTGTTCAACTTATCAAAAACACAAATAAGGTAGAATATAAATTTAGAACCTCCAATCTTGCTTTACTGAGATATAACAAATGTCACTGTTATTTCATATTGTTGCCTTTATGTAGGCAATTCTCCACATTTTGCAATCTTTTTTTATTTTCTGAGCATCTAAACAGAATTTTTGAATCTATTTGTAATCTTAGTAAGAAAGCTTTTTTTAGTGTTTTATTTATTTTTTTTGTGAAACCCTATATGCACAGAATCAGTCCACTGGAGAATTAATGTTTACTCTAAATTCTATTATTCTAAATTTACTTAACACTTTGCAACCATAAAGTAACTATAAGTGTTTCTATACTATAACTTTTAATATCTTTTGTATACCTTCATAAAATTTGGAAAGTTTTCAGTAAGCTTTACAAGTCTTTTGTGTTCAAAAATTAGTTTTTAATTAAGTATTTTTACTAAAGATTTGTACTTGAATATATGGAGGCAGAGTGATTTTCGTGTTGAGATTTAAAATACTATTCTTCATTTGAAAGTTTAGAAATGTTATTTGCATAATCTATAAAATCTCATAAATAAATATTAAATGGGTTATTTTCAGCAAAATTATATTTCATTTGTTATTTTCTCTACCCTAATTCTATATGCACTTGTTTGATTTAAACAACCTTGTAACCACAATAAAAAAGTAAAAAATCTAGATTACCCTTTTTTTCTCTCGATAATGACTAAATTCTAAGGGAAACTACAACTGTTTGTTCTAAATAACTTAGACCTTGTAACAGTCTACATCTGTTTATACTTAATGTAATTATTTTATTGCTCTTTGAACTGTGTCTAACTAATAATCCTGCCACAAAAGTTGTAAATTGCTTGGTGAACACATAGCTTACATTACCTTATTTCAGATGTTGTGCACAAGCTAATTGCGAGCATACCTCGTGGATAATTTTTATTTATTTTTCATTACCTTACCTTATCTAAATTTTACATTTTAGCTACTTTTATAATGAAAAACAAGAAATATATTACTTACCTGTGACCTTGTTTTTCGAGGTCAGTTGCTGATGTAATTTAAGCCCACTTTTTTATACTAATGGTACTAGTACACTAAATAATTTTTGTTTATTTCAATAATACACCTAATAACAAAGAATAATAACAAGTACAAAGCAAACAATGTCATATAACTATCATAATATATTTGTCTTTCTAACTATGGCATATAAGAGCCTTTAACCCTTTTGCCACAGGCATTCTTTACTGTGCATGTCCTGAGGTTTTTAGTGAGTTTCATTCAAAATTTAATAAAACTACTTTTTGTTTATGTTATACCAAATAAATATAGCATAAAATTGTACCTAATAATCCATATTTTAATAGCTTATAAGTTTTAAGTTCTTAATTTTACAAGGCAATATTAAAAAATCCTGAATTTTCTCTAGTATGAGAAATGTGACATTTTTTCTCTAGGCATCCTTCTTTCTCTAATTTATTCACCACCCTTCCATTAAGTACAAAATTTAACATTAATTACTCACTATAATATTGTCATCGCTCACACAAAGCATAATTTTGATTAGCCTTCAATCTGTTTTTGATTACAGAGCCATCAAATAGAATATCAGACCCCTCTTGCCATACTCACCTGTCACATCCTGTCTTCAGGATCTGCCTTATCTTCTATTGAAGAAATTGGGTATGGTCTGCTTTTCAAAATAGGGTTCTCATGGTCGCCTGTTGCACTGTTTACAGTGTTGATGTTCCTTTGGACTCTCCATCACATTTTCTCCCTCTTTTTTTCTTCCAATAGAGTATGGGAGTCCTTATCACTTTTCAATTCCAAGCCACTGGTATGATCCTCTTTCCTACCCCACCTGGATGTCAGTTCCCATTGGCTAGGTTTTGGATTGTTGTTGACTTACCGACATTATGATCCTCATCTTTCCCCCCTTGTGGATTTCAGTTCCCAGCAGCTGGGTTTTGGATGCAGTTGACTTGCCGTGTATGGTCAGTTCTTTTTTTTTTTCTTTTATTCCATAATCCCAATTCTTGAGCTTACCATCTTTTTCTCCTTGCTTGTTATTTGGGGTTATGCTGTTCCCTTTCTATAACAGCTCCTCACTCACATCCAAATGCCTTGTCCCCCTCACATGTGAGTTTTTGTCATGACTTACAGACATTTTTCTTTCTTGATTCCCTGTCCTAGGTATCTATTTGGCGTGCTTGAGGATTGGTTCATTGTCTTGTCTTTCACTCTCTCGTTCCTTATTTTGTTTTGTTTTTTCAAGATCATCCTGTATTCCCTCCTCGTTACTCCTTCCTTCTTGACTACATGGATTTTGTCAGGCTCCTTTTCTTTGTCCATATGTCTTTAAATGGTGTTCATTTCTCTCTATAGAGCTGGACTGATGTTATCTAACTTCAGTACTCATTATCTTCTCAGGTTTTTCTTTTTTCTTGACTTTGCCCTTCTAGATTAGTCTACTTCTGACTTTTCCATTCCAGGTTCCAGGCCTTACTCCTTTTCTCATCTTCCTTCTATCAGCTGTCTGGTTCATTGCTCTTCTTCTCAGTAATTATCAAGTCATGTCCAACTCTTTGAGTACCCTCGTCTCCTGCTTTTGGTCTTTTTTCTCTGCTGACAGTTGTTTTTCATTTCTCCACCTTGCTTCACTTCCCCTGTCCATTTCTCCTCCATCTATCTAACTCTATGGTCTTTTTTACCTGGTCTGCAATTGGCCATAGTTGATGTGTAAACACCTTCCTAGACATTCCTGTTGACTCATTCTCTTTATATTTTCAGTGTTCCATCCATCAAATTTGCATCTTCTAATTCCTAGCTCTTTCCTTTGACATAGCATTGGCCTCTTTTGTATTCATTTATATTGTTAGGGCCTTTGCTTGTTATCTTCACAGCCTAGGGCTGTCATTTCTTTTTGTGTATGATTGACGTTTGTTGGCTCATTCTCGGGTGGTAACATCTTCTCACACACACCCCCAATGGTTGGGGGCTTGTCATAAGATCCAAGTCCTTTCTCATGCATACTCAATATTTGGCACTTTGTCTATCAAAAGCTTGGTATTTGAATAGAATCTTAGCTTTCATCAGTGTACCTTTCCTGTTGTTAGCTTTAGAGTACTACTTTTATGACTATTTTACCATAGAGTAGCATTTTATGATTGGAAATTCTGATTCTGTTTGTTTTGCCAGTGAGGAAGCCAGTAATGTAGGGATTTCATTGTCCATATATAGTTGAGGAGGCTTAGCCTGCTATGTGATCATTAGCCTGTTCAAGTGATATGTCCACTTCCAACCCTATCTTGTTTGGTTCCTTTTTGTTTTTATAAGATGGTGTACATAGGCTACTAGGTTATAGAGTGTATTCTAAAGCTTTATAAATTTTGCATATAATAATAATAATAAAATAAGAAGTTGAAGATCATGAAGAATGTTTTGTTCTATCAAATCATGATAAAATTATAGTTACTGCTAGAACTAGGTAGGTGCTAGGCCTGTTAAAGAAAGATGATGATGAAAGAAAATAAGTAATCTCGTTTTTGACTTTGGGATGCTCTGGATAGCTGAAGAGCATCATATACACTGCAGATAGAGTCACTATTCCAGGTAGTTCTTCATATCTTGCTTCTGATGATCTGTATGTGTATTTATTTGTGTATACACCTCTCACTTCATTCATAATATAGAGATTGTCTCCATAAAGACAGTAATTGTGTAGTGTACAAAGTATCGAGTATTCTATGTGTTATAGTCATCTAATGTCCATCTTGTACACAGGCCTGCGATGGTTTTATTTTCTTCAAATTGTTACATATTCTACAGTAATTCTTGTACACTGAATCCGAAAATGATATCCAGTTTTCTCCATCATGTACAGATTTTTCAGAAAACGTCATATGTACTTTACATAAGGGAATCATTTTCATTGAAATTGGGTGTCATTTTGTTATGCTTAAAATGTCGAAAACCACTAATTATAGATTTCTCTAGACCAATCATGATGTGAGAGTCTTATTGGTCATTCTAGAACCCACAAGAAACACTCCACTTGTATATAAATGGTTAACAAGCTACATGATGTGTCATTTCTGGATAATATTTGTTTGAGTGTGCACTTTGACATTTTTTTTCAATATTATTTATTTGTTGCTATGGCAAC